ATCCCGGGGCATCCCCGGGACACCCTCGGGGCACCCCCGGAGCAACCCCACGGCAACCCCGGGGCACCCGCGGGACAACCCCGGGGCATCCCTGGGACACCCCCGGGGCACCCCCGGGACATCCTCGGGACCCACCGGCACACCGCCGGGACAACCCAGGGAGACCCCCGGGAGAACCCCAGGAGACCCACGGTAAAACCCCGGAACACTCCCGGGAGACCCCTGAGTGACCACTGGAGCACCCCCAAGGCACCCTCGGAACACCCCTCAGAATACCCCCGGCACAACCCCGGGTGACCCCTGGAACAGCCCCGGGACACCTACGGGACATCCTCGGGGCACCAGCCCAGGACACCCCGGGACACCCCCGGGGCACGCCCGGGGGACTCCCAGGACATCCCTGTCGCAACCCCGAGACACCCCTAGGACACCCCCGGGGCACCCCCGGGACACCCCCAGGAGACCCCCGGGGCACCACTATGACACCCCCGTGGCAACCCCGGGACACACCTGGGCCCCCCCCGGGAGACGCCCAGGCACCCTCGGGCCACCGCCATGGGACCACCGGCGCACCCACGGGACACCCCCGGAGCACCCTCGGGACACCCCCGGGGCTCCGCCGTGGCACCCTCGGGCACCCCCGGGACCCCCCTGGGCCCCCCCCGGGAGACGCCCAGGCACCCTCGGGCCACCGCCATGGGACCACCGGCGCACCCACGGGACACCCCCGGAGCACCCTCGGGACACCCCCGGGGCTCCGCCGTGGCACCCTCGGGGCAGCGCCGGGACACCCCCGGGGGACCCCCAAGACACCGCTGAGACACCCCCGGGACACCCTGGGACACCACCAGGACATCGCCGAGGCACCCAAGGGAAACCCCCGGGACACCCCCGTGAGGACCCCGGCAGATTGCCGGGACACCTTTGGGAGACCCCCGAGACACCCGCAGGACACCCCCGGGACACCCACGGGTCACCCGAAGACACACCTGGGGAACTCCGGAGACACCCCCGGGGCACCCCTGGGACACCCTCGGGGCACCGCCGGGGCACCCGCGGGACACCCCCGGAGCTCCCGCGGGACACCCCCGGGGCTCCCCCGGGGAGCCCCCGGGGCGCGCCCGGGACACCCCCGGGCCACACCCTGGACACCCCTGGGGCGTCCTCGGGATAACTCCATGGCACTCCCGGGACACTGTCGGGGCACCCCCGGAGCATCCGCAGGACACCCCCGGGGCACCGCCGGGACACCCCTGGGACATCCCCGGGGCACCGAGGCTCCCCCGTGCACCCCC